GTACAACTTTAGTACGCGGAGTATCTGGCGAGCTGGACGATGAGAACGGGCGACTTTGTAGTACAACTTTAGTACGCGGAGTATCTGTGGAGCTGGAAGCTGAGAACTGGCGACTTTCTAGTACAACTTTAGTACGCGGAGCAATCTGTAGAGCTGGACGCTGAGAACTGGCGACTTTCTAGTACAACTTTAGTACGCGGAGCAATCTGTAGAGCTGGAGGCTGAGAACTGGCGACTGTGTAGTACAACTTTAGTACGCGGAGCAATCTGTAGAGCTGGAAGCTGAGAACTGGCGACTTTCTAGTACAACTTTAGTACGCGGAGCAATCTGTAGAGCTGGAAGCTGAGAACTGGCGACTTTCGAGTACAACTTTAGTACGCGGAGCAATCTGTGGAGCTGGAAGCTGAGAACTGGCGACTTTGTAGTACAACTTTAGTCCGTGGAGCAATCTGTGCAGCGAGAAGCTGAGAACTGGCGACTGTGTAGTACAACTGCAGTACGCGGAGCAATCTGTAGAGCTGGAAGATGAGAACTGACTGGCGACTTTCTAGTACAACTTTAGCACGCGGAACAACCTGTGGAGCTGGAAGCTGAGAACTGGCCACTTTGTAGTACAAGTGTAGTACGCGGAGGAGTCATCTCTCGCGACTGAGTCATCTCTCGCTGCTCATTCATCTCTCGCTGCTGAGTCAATCTCTCGCTATAGCCATCTCTCGCGGCTGAGTCATCTCTCGCGACTCAGTCATCTCTCGCTGCTGAGTCATCTCTCGCGGCAGGCTTGGCGCAGTTCATACTGATAGTATTTGGTTGCATTTATGCAGGACAGGACATTCAACTGCTGGTCAATACACCACTCATCATACACACTGATCCTGCAGGGGGCACACACCTTACACACGTGGAATCCCGTGGGTCAAAAGTCCGGAGCGCGTGCGTTTGACTGGAGGACGCGCATCTTGGAGAGAACGTGGACAGTCCTATAGGTCAATTTGTTCTTATAGGAAACTTCCGCCGCCGGCTTGCCCGGGAACTGCTTGTATACACATCATCACACATTTATGTAACATTATTGGGTTTGTGTGGACAGGTTGAAATTCACCAGCTTGCTGCAGCTGCATGTCAGGTTTGTTGGATGTTGGTATTTGGGATGTTGAGCAGCTTGCCCAGCAAGGCACGTGGAGTTGTAGTCGCATTCATGGCACGCATGTATATACGTGCTTGCAAACCTTCCAAAAAATAGACACCTGACACCTGCCCTGGCCCTTTGAAAAGTCGATACTGGTGCTGGCAGATTCTATCCAGTCGTATTTGGTTCTTTTGGTGTGCTAATTTATGTTTTCCTGACTTTTTGCAGAATCATCCTTGCATTTCACTGAACATCTCGTTTAGCTTGAACGCTTGGGCAAAAGCAAAGATTACATACAGCAACATCTTGAAGGTTCAAATTATTCCCCAAAATATGTATATGTATATCATAATTAATGCAGCTGAAGCCTTTTTGTGTTGATGCGAATTGGGTTGACAGGCGAGAACGTCACTCGCTTGACTACTGATGGTTACCGCCAGGCCAGCTTCCTTTTGGATCATCGAATATATGTTTCTACAACTACAACAACATTTTGTACGGCAGGAATTGATCAATCCTTTCATGCCTCTCATGAGGAGATCAGTCTGATCACGGCATTATTTGTTGGCCCTGAGGTGAGTGGCGAGCAGTCTGATAATGTCACATCCAAAGTAGGCGCGCAGAGTGGTCCACCAGTTGATACTGAGGTCTTCTCCCAGATAAACAAAACCACCCAGGGCTCCACTATGTTCGTTTCGTTTTCAAGTTTCAAGTTTCAATGCATGTTGATTCAACTGGCTGGGCCAGAGACCAGCCTCCTAGGTGGGCATACTGAGTGCACCTTGTCAATGTATGCCGTTGTTGTTCAGTATTTCTGCAGGCCGCAGCTGACTGTATTTTTGACTTGAAGGTGAAGGTTTTGAATACATGGTACTGTACCGGGAACACCCTCATCCCTAAACTGCTATACACAAGGGTGCGGCACGGCCCCGAGGCACAGTGGGTCCAGGTGTATCTCAACTAGAGACTTCTCATAATGTGGTTACGCGATGTGCTTGCCTGACACACTTGGGCACAGGTGAAAGCTCTCCACTCCTAGTTCGCAACAAGGATGGTTTGCTCGAAGCTCTGCCAGAGGCACCAGCAGCGTCAACACTTCGTGGATACAACACCGGTTGTTACAAGTTCTATTTTGAAGTTTCCCTACAAATCTAGGAACCAAATCATTAGTGCGTGAGCTATCCTGCGTCCATACAGTATCTAGTAGCTACTTGTAGGTACTAGCTATATAGCTACCTCTAGCTAGCTACCTCACCTACCTCCTACCTACCGCTTCGTACCAGGTAAAAGAAAAACAAATCAGTTGAAACGAAGGAGACGAGTTGACCAGGAGGATTTGGGGCTGAGCCGAGCTGCGGACTTCATGGCCGACACCTCTGACGAGGCAGACAGCGGCAAACAAAGTGGTAGGAAGAAAGGAAGAAAGGAAAGGAAAAAAAAGAACAACAATCAGACGATTTGATAAAGATAGGATAGAAAGGAAACGGATCTTTTAACATATTATTATGTTAACATGTAATTTAAAATGTTAATTTAACAAATGTGCGTTAAACCGATATGGGCCTCAAAACCAAGCCAAGTTGTTTTTTTGCTTCAATTTATTTTAGCGATGTGTGCAGCAATTGTGCACTGTGCCAGCGTGTCAGCGCTTCAGGATGTGGATTCTCCCTGAGAATCTGTAGTCAGCATGGCAAAGCAACGCTTGATCAGAGCGATTTGTAGCCGTGCGCTGATAATCGTGTTCTGGACGGATCTTCCGCGTTCTGCAGGGAACAAAGTAAAGATCATCCAGGGTGCAGTTGTGACAGCATGTGCGAATCGGAGCTTCCACTTGACGCAATCATCATTGTGTAAGGGCGACTACTACCCGACCACCGAGACTGTCGCACTTGTGCACTTCTTCCGCTGCACTGGCCTTTCATCCTGTACAGAGTGCATCGCAAGCGTCTTGAAACGCAAAGTCTGCGACAATACCAAGAGCAGCTCGATGGTCCACGCTTTCCAAAAGGGTGTCAGCCAGCGGAAAACAAAGTGTAGTTTTCTGCATGTGAGGCAAACGACAAACGAGCAACAACTGTTGAGCAGAAAGGGAAGAAGTCCTGTTTGAAGGACCGAAGGATGACTCGAGTTCTTTAGACAGTTTTGACTCAACATTTCATGCCGCCACATGCACAGAAGTGATTGCAGAAATCATGGAGGATAAGCTGCCTGCCTGACCGCAGAATTTGGACCAGTAGAAGTACCATGGCGGAGGAAGCCGATGCAGCAGCAGTCTGAGGATCACGTTAAAACGTGTTTGTCAATCTGTTGAGAAATACTTGTTAGATAAACTTACTTTGTGCGAACAAAGTGAGAACCACTAAATCAAATATTGAATAACCAATATATATATATATAATATAGCTAAAATACCTGCTGCAGTCCTGCCGGGCCCCTTATAGCCGGACGGTGTGGTTGCCAGGGGTACGAGGAATGGGTTGTATAAGTTGTGGTAGTTGGGGCGGGAGGTGAGGGGCGAAGGGGGACACGTTTGGGCGTGGATACCGCCAAGATTGATGACAATTTGATCAATTCGATCAACAAAAATCAGTCAATAGGCCTATGAGGTGAACAGATCAAAAACTCAAAAAGGAACATGCAAATACTGCAAATACAACAAGACAATCAGGAACACATATTACCAGATAAGCTGCATCCGACAGGCAGACCCCCAAAAACTTGAACCTGAAGCTGGGATTGGGGCAAAGGTGTTCCCAAAAACAATAAGGCGCTCCGTTTGCAAGTCAACTTCGTGGCTTGAAACTTCGAGGCTGTTCAAGGAAGTTAACTCGAGAGAAGCTTCATTGAAGAAGCCTCCCTGCATCTCCCTGCCCATAATGGTTCTTAGATTCTATAGATGTTAGATGTTCCCAATCTGGTCTCTTGATGGTTGGTTCTCATGCTCACCTTGATTCACCTGGTTTTTGCATTTAAAGCAGATAGACCATGAGTTGAACAGTTGGCGACTTCTAAGGCAGAGCAAGAAGAAGGGGGAATCCCCTTATCTCAGGCCGGTCTCGGTCATCTCAGCTGCACGGCCATCAATTTTGGTCCTTGTAACATCCAGACCGATTTAGATTCAATGCACCTGTGAGGGAACCAATATACAAACACCAATCTGGCATCACTGGCATCACTTTGGGCAAGAGCTTTGCAGATGATTTTGCAGCACGGTGATGACCTTAAGCCTTAAGGATACGCCTCCAATCGATAGAAATGATAAGGTCCAAATATGTTGTCGATAATTTGTTTCTTTTCTGCTTTTCACATTTGAGCTCCGGAAGGCCTCCCTCCAGCAGCTAAATGCAGTGAAGCAGCAGTCACTCCGGCTGGATCAGAAGTTTTGATTTGTCAATCCTTCAAGTCAGTAAAGATCTCTTTATTAAGTTAAAACACATCTTGCGTAGTACAACCCAATTACAGTATAGGATAGGTTGCGTTCTTCAAATTTAAGCACATCCAAGGCTGGAGCAAGAGGTCCGGAGTTTGGTCGAACTCCCAGCTTGGCAGGTTCAATACAAGTAGAAGGAGACTTATGCACAGTATTTTGATGCTACCCTTGAAGCCCTTCAACTTGTAGCAGTGTTTGGTGCTTCTCACTTTGCACGCAGCGCCAAGTTGAACAACCAAGCGGCTCTCAGAGAGGCTGAGGTGCTCAAGTGCACACGTGTCTATTTTTAGGGTATTTTTTCCCCACATCTCTGTGTGGGGTTCTAGTTTTTTGGCTGCCATCCCGCCCGCCTCCTTCCGTCCGCCTTCCTCCGCCTTCCTCCCTCCTTCCTTCCTCCTCGCTGTCACACGCATCTCCACATCATCCTCTTCACATCTACATATCACCACCCTCACACACATACAGCTCCACATCATCCTCTTCACCTCTCCCACTCACATCATCTCAACAGATCACCATCCACACCAACACCATCAGCTTCTCCAAGCGTGTGCAGCTTCACATACTCCTCATGCAAATGAGCATCTTCATCTCTTCTGCGCTTCGGTTTGTGTTGTCTGGCACGTGCAAGTCCTTCAAGAGGCGGCAGAGCCTCCAGAACGGGCTGCGGCGCGCGGAGTCGCTGCTGGGCCCCCCCCAGCTCTCCACAGTGGCGGGCGCAGTCTCCGGAGCCTCTAGAAGGGGCTGCGGCGCGCGGAGTCGCCGCTGGGCCCCCCCAGCTCTCCACAGTGGCGGGCGCAGTCTCCAGAGCCTGTAGAAGGGGCTGCGGCGCGCGGAGTCGCCGCTGGGCCCCCCCGCGGTTGTGTGCGCTACTGCCATTGTGATTTGCATAGCAACGGTTCTCATCATTGCCTGCGAATCGCATTGTAATGGCTGCGGCACGCATGTTGGCAAAGTGTGTTTGCGCGCTACTGCCATGGTGATTTGCACAGCAAGGGTTCTCACTGGTTCGGAATCGCATTGTAATGGCTGCGGCACGGATGTTTGCAAAATGTCTCTGCGCGCTACTGCCATTGTGATTTCCACAGCAAGGGTTCTCAGCTCTCCACAGTGGCGGGCGTAGTCTGCAGAGCCTCCAGAACGGGCTGCGGCGCGCGGAGTCGCCGCTGGGCCCCCCCAGCTCTCCACAGTGGCGGGCGCAGTCTCCAGAGCCT